ATTATTTTATATAGTACACGGTGTGTGCGTGTGCGCGCGATAATAATATTTTTATGACGTCCGATTAATAATCAAAATAAAAAAAAAAATTACAAAAAAAATACACACACACGCACACATATATATATATATATATATATACATATACATCCCATTCCGTGAGAAACCGGCCGCCGCGGTATAAATGACGGAAATATCGGGGCGTAACCGCCGCAACCAACAACCTCCCTGTCCCCCGTCCCCCGTTCAGTATGAGGGGATTAGGTACCGAGATAATGTGAAAAACATCCCGCGGGAGCACACGATGAAACGAAAAAAAAATCCTATACACGTACACTGTTACTTTTTTTTTTTTTTACAAAAGGGTCAATTAACGTATACAATTAAACTGTAACCCCGAACACAATAGAAATTGTAGAGAGGAAAAAAAAATGTAAAAAATAACAATAATAATAATAATATACTTAGACTGAAAAAATAATTAGCCCGTTTATGAAGATCATCGCGCGACTGTAATGTTCCCCCATAATGTGTGTGGGCACTGTATTTTAGCGCATTACACTGCAGTGCATACAAGTGATAAGTGAATATGTCAGGTCGAGTTTTTTGCGATTCGAAACCGGAAAATTTAATTTAAATTTTCTTTTCCCCCGCCCCGGTGGAATTCGCAAAGTTCATTGGCAACCCGGTTAACGTTTGTCGTTCGACTTCCTTATTATTTTTCTAGATCGCGTTTGATTTGTTCCCTTCTTCTACTCGAATGGGAAGTATAGTTCGGAGAAAGGTTTATTTTTTTTTTTTTTAACGTCGCTAAAACCGGTGAAACGGATACCGGATTCCTTTTGAAAACCTTCGTTATTTTTTCGGGCAGTATATTTACTGTCATAAAGTCGCGTGCACAAAAACAATAGGATGGGTAAGCTATATTAAGAGACCCGTTTTCCCAGAATTACTGTCAGACACCCGTTTGAGAGGAAAGGGTACGGACGAACGAATACGAATTTGCGGGATAGCTCTTTGTCAGCACGCTATAAATATGTATACACCGAGTAGTGTGTGTTTGACGACAAGTCCGATTTGTCGCATTCGATTTCGAATATCGACGAATAAAAAAAAAACCCGCGAATAAGAAGCTAGAAAATGTACTTATTTTTTTTTTTTTTCTAAAGGACGGTATATTATAGCATACAGCGTTTGCGGTTGAAATATCGAAAAACGGATCGGCTCGACTCCGGGGGCAGGGCCGGGCGAGCGGAGATTAACAGTTTAAACGGGAAACAACGCCGGGACAATCGATATCGGAAAACGTCGCGCCCGAGACGCCGGCGCCCCCTCCCCATTTGCGTGATAACAATACGAGCGCGGATATTCTGAAAAAAAAAAAATTAATAAATAAATAAAAAAGACGACGTCGCGGTCAACAGAACGCAAGTGTGCAACGGTGAGTGAGATCGCAGCAGTAGTAGTCGGCGTCGGGCGCAATGGCGAGCGGATAGCCCGGGCCGTAGGTACGACACGGTGTTCTCGGAAACGCGATCGGAAAAAAAAAATTAATAATAATAAAACGTTCACGGTTTTACCGCAGTAGTCGCCGTCGGTTTTTCGGCCGTCGTTTCGATTCCGCCGACCGACGCGTAATTCGAACGTTCGTCCGCGCGGCAGACAGTGGTATTTTTTTCGCGACTAGAAACCGCCGAACGCACGGCGTTTTTTTTTTTCCGATAACAACAGTATCGCGACGTCTACCTACGCGTACGCGGACGATAATCTCGGCGGCGGCGGTCGTCTCTGCCGCGCGCGGCGCGAACGGAGAAAAAAAACAAAAAACCATTTTATCCGCCCGGTTTCCCGTTTTTCAACGATAATTCCCTGCCGCGATTGCGCGTGCAGCGTCCGCGTCGCGGGCCCCGGCGCACCGTCGCGGGCGAACGGAACAAACGCGCGTAATAATAGTCCGAGCGTAATAATATGAATAAAAGACCACCTACGCGGTTTCTACGACACATTTTCGATTGTTATTGCGTTGCGCCGCGCTCGTAAATCGAAACGGCGCGAGCGCGCGCGCGGACCGACGCACTCGCGTTTAAATCGGTAGAAAGAAAGAAAAAAAAAAATAGTAATAATAATACGATATTTTTTTTTTTATTTTTTTTTTTATTATCAAATATTATTTATACGCGCGCCCGTACCCGGCGCGACTCGATTTATTATTATATTGCGTCGCGACGAGAATACATACGGTTTTTTTTTATTATTATTTTACGAACGGATACGGGACGGACATTATAATTGGACGCGTTATTGCGTACGTCGTGAGACGTTGTTTTTTTTCACCGCGGACCACCGTTTTTTTTTTATCGATTTTATTTCCATAGTTTTTTTTTTTTCATTTTTCGCGCGTTATTTATCGTCAACTCCGTCCCGTTATAAAACGCGATTGATCAGCGGGCGCGCGCCCGAACGCATTTATACCGCACGCACACGCGGGCTGTAGGCAAATCGTTCGGGTGGATACGCGCGGTCATCATTCCGTTTCGTTTCGCCCGCGGACCGTTCCGTTCTCCGACTGCGCACGCACGGCGTAACATTTTCCGACCGAATTTTCACGCCCGTTCGATTCGTACGCGGGGCCGCGCGTCACACACGCAAGGCTAAACAAACGTCCGCCGAATCGACCGCGGGGGCAAACGCCCGTCACTACGCCCATAACGTGTGTTTAATGCGCGTTTGAAAGGCCGTCGAAAAGAAAAATGACAACAACAGATTTCAACCGGCTCACTCGCGCCCGACGAAATCGGCGGAGTCGATCGTAACGAGTACAGGAGACGGTCGACGCGGGTACCGTCTCCCCCCCCATCACGTAATCTCTTCGTGTTTACACGCTTTACACTTAGCGGTATAACGGGACGTATCAACATAGTTCATCGGTTGTTAGGTAAACAATACAACAGTCTATTTTTAGTCAATTAGAAAAATCGTGACGTCAACGCGTCTACGGCGGTTTAGTCCCGTCGAAGAAGGAGGATGGGTCCAAGTCAATGTTTGGCGTTTTTTTTTATTTTCCAAGCAAAACGATCCCGTTTATTTTTCGGTCCGAGTGGCCCGCGAGTGTGTGTATTTTTCGGACGATAATATATAATTTCGGGTTGATTTTTTTTTTTATTAGGATTTCCGGCGCTTTTATCGAAATTCTATTTTCTGAAGGCCTTTCGCCGACGGTGTTTCTCTCGCTTCCGCAACGTGCAAATTACTCCACTTGTAGATGCCGACGCGATAACCGATTCACGGCCGAAACGAATCCCGAAATTTCGCGTAAAGATTTTCGAAGACCCGCGCTCCTTTCGCGCGGTACGATTATATTACGCGGCGGTACTGCTAATAGGATTTCTCGCGATTTAAACGTCGCTCGTACATACTTCTACCATACGCACACGCATACCCAAGTCGTATAATATCGAATATTATACTGTGTAAAATACAATATACATATATAGATGTATTTATCTCGGGTAGTATAACTATACGACGGAATTACACACGAAGAGGTCTCGTCTTCGTCGTAAAACGCGGAACGGGACAGGGGGAAAAAAAGAAAGGAAAAAAAAAAAAAAACGTTAATAATAATAATATACGTGTAGAGCACAGGTATTATAGTATTATTATTACTATGTACCGGGTGTGTTGTTGCAGTGTGCGCGGCGGGGCTGAGCCGTACATAAATATGTATAAAGAGCGGTCCGTGTGTATATACTCGGGAGAAAGAGAGAGAAAGAACGAGAGACGCGGCACACAGGTATGCAGCTGGTATGCTGCCGCGGCGCAGGGGTAGAGGTTACCCGAGGTCAGACCGCCGAGCGCGCGCGCTTGTGCGTGTGCGCGTCCGGTACCTATCCGGTGGCTCGGTGTTGCGCCGCGCCACGTCACGTCTTCGAGAACCGACGGTGACGGCGGCGACCCCGGTCGGGTCGGGTTGGGATCGCGGACGAAACCATCCCGGGCGAGGGGCCAGTCGATGTTTTTTTTAAAAAACGCGATCCCCGCGGTCGGGCGCGGCTGCAGTACGATTCGTGACGAAGAAAACCGCGAGCAGTTCCGATAATTTCGCGCGGCTCGAGAACGCAGCGCGAAGTACGGCGAGAAGCGACAAGAGGGCCACGGGGAATGCGTATATAAACGGGGACGGACGCGTGAAACGAAGACGACTGGGGGGAGGGGGTAGCTGCGCCGAACCGATTCGGGAAGGAGGGCGACGCCCAGGAGTCGGGCCCGGGGAAAAGGTCGTCGAACATCGCGAGAATACAAGACGAGAACCGCGTGCGGAAGTCCTGCGGAGGTCGGTATAAGAAAGGACCCGCAACCGAGGAATCGTCGGAGGACACTCGGCTTCCGCGGCCAAAATTGGCACGGAGTCGCGAGGAGACGTTTCGACGATTACCGTACACTGTTTTAACATTAGACGGACGTGTAAATAATTTTGAAGTGGTGTACTGTGTATAAGTTGGGTCCTCTAAACACCCGGGTCCAAAAAAAAAAAAAAAAAAAAAAAAAAAAAAACAACCGGACTCGGCCGAATTAACATATTACACGCTATTCGAGCGACGGCGAGGCGCACGGGGACGTTCCTCCCGGGAGGGGTGTTTGAGAAATCAAATAGCAACGAAATCGAACGGTACTAAATAAAGCAAGAACGAAACCAAAAAAAAAAAAAAAAAAAAAAAAAAAAAAGTAATCGCTAAACGCGGAACATAATCATAGTAATGATACGGCCGAACGAAAAGGGAGAAAACGGGGCCTGCTGGAGTCGTTCCGAAAACCCCGTTTTCCTTCGGTTCGCCGCCGTCGGATATCGTCCGGTTATTAAATTATTATCGGTGCACGTATAGAAAAAAAAAAAATTACGTTCCCGCGAAGACCGTTTAATTTGAAAATGTCGTTTACAACGATTAGGAAACGTAAGAAAAAAGAGATGAAAAAATTTGCCCCCCGGTGAAATATTATGGAAGAAAAAAAAAAACGTAAGCAGATATTCCGCGGCAAGACGTTTATTATTATTATTATTGTTATTGTTGTTATTGTTACGGCGGTTATGAAATGACGTACAAGTGCGCCGGGTAAAAAGCACGTGAGAAATACCGTCTATAACGGCCGGATAACGTTGTTTTTATTTATTATTATTGTTGTTTTTCGTTTCGCCCGCAAACACCGAAACCTCGACGCGCCGCCGGCCGTGCGAGCGCGCAAAAACATCGCGGTGTCAACTTTCGTCTACGTTTCGGTAAAAAGCATTTTTTTTTTTTCCGCCGTCGTTCAACTGCTAGCCGCCTTTCGGAAACGGTCCGGGCGCGCGACAAAGTCCCCGGACGGTTCCGCCGGTAATACGCGCGGGCCGTACGCGATGAGACCCATTCGGATGTACCGGCCCGCGATGCGGAACGGACCGGCGACGATCGCGGACAGACGCGGCGAATCGGCGTTTCGCGTCGCGTTTGAGGGAAACGCCGCGGTCGGCGCGATTTGAATTCGGTTGCCGCGGCCCAACTGAATTTCGCCATTTCCCGAGACGGGCCGCGCCGAACTATACGCGACCCGCGTGATTTCCGACGACCGCCGATCGTATATACACACGCGCGCGCGCGCTCGTACGCACGCGTAATAACGTGTAATACGGCGGATTTCTGGCATTTTTTTCGCCGTCGTCGGAGAGCGCGCGTAAAGGTTCAATACGCCACGGCCGCGGACGGATCGCCGATTTATTTGTTATTATTATTATTATGCGGTTCGCGCGATTTTCTCGAAGACATTTTTTTTTTTTTTTTTTTTTTTTTTTTTTTTTTTTTTTTTATTATTATTTATTTTTTTTTTTCTTCTTCTTCTCGTAAATATATCGAGGCGAAACGCCGCGCCGATGCGAAATTATAACGTCGTTACAAGGCATAAATCAAGATGCGGCGGCGGCGGCAGAAATCGACAACTCGTTTAAATAAACACGATATAGGTATATTGTATTGTACAGAATTTGATGTCGGGCCGGGCCGCCGGGGAAGGGGGTGGGGTGGCGGGCGGAGGGATGGAGCGGGAACGAATAAAATAACGTTAATTATTCTTTTATCGTCGTTCGTTTCGTATAATATATTAGGTTCCCGTACGATAATACGTGTGTGTATAGCGGGGTACAAGTAGTTTTTGTTTTTTTTTTTTTATTTTTTTTTTTCCCGAACAACTGGATTTCCAAATGTCAACGCATTTGTTGTTTGCGCGCGCGCGGTGTAAATAATAAACCCCGACATCAATTAATATCTCTTATTGACAACGCTCGACCAATAAATAACCGATCGCAAAGTCTTGTTTTCGAAATCGCGGACATAATTACACACACACACACACACACACACACACACACACACATATATATATATGCATACAGGTAACCCACACCGCAGCGCCTGTACGCACACCCGACGTCGTATAAATATTAATCGTTTACCGTCCGGGTCCTAAGTTTTTTTTTTTATTAAATATTTATACATAGATATGTTCGCGGCGCGTAGGTACGAGTAAACAACACGGAACTTTGTGACGGCGACGTCGGGTCTCGATCGATTGTGTTATTATTGTAATCTATTTTGTTTTTTTGTTTTTTTTTTTTTACATATACAGAACGTTTCGGAAATAACGACGCGGTAGGCGCGACGGGGCCCCGACACTTCAGCGACGGGCGCGCCTATCACTGTTACAGAACGGAGAGCGGAACGTCGGAAACGAACGCACACGGGACGTTCATTGGATGTCGGTCCGTCGTTTACGGCAAACGATTCTGAGCGGAGCAACAGCACTGGCCGTATACTGCGCGGTCCGTCGTCGCGGGGGACAACCGGAAAAACGACCGATTTACCGATTTAACGCTCGGGACATCAAAACTACGAGTGTTCCGTGTTGCAGAGTGCGGAAAAACCAGCGGGTAAGAGACCGCTAACGGAAATCGGTGTGCGACTAACGTTTCCGGCGACCGCGAAAGTGTTTTTTCGCGGGAAATCCTGGTGACCGTCGAGGAAAACAATGGTATTCTGGCGGCCGGCGTGCGCCCGCGCAATATTCACCAGCCGGGAGGAAGAAAAAACCGTCCGCCTAAATTCACCGATATTTTCACCGAGCGAAACACTCCCGTGTATTGGTTGTCGATCTCGTGAATATCAACACGACGTGATGATGTTATCGTGTTTGCCGTACGTTCGGGGTGGGGAAAGGGGGGGGGGGTGGTCACGTCGGTTTCGCGGACCGCGGTCAATTCGCTTTCGGTTGGACGGAACAGTATACGAACGGCAAAAAAAAAAAAACGGCGTTCGAAAGTATAGGGAACAACGGTGCAGGTTTATTTCGTTTCGACGGGTAACTTTGCAGTTGGCGACCCGCCGCGGTGTGCGCGCGTGACACGACACGGGAATTCGGACGTTTTCTGTTTCCGGGTGCGTGTGCCGATTGATCCGGCACGGCGACGGGAACGGCTATGAAAGGGGATGTTTTATTTTTTTCCATCGCGGCTTTGTTTCTTCTTCTTTTTTTTTTTTTTTTTTTTTTTTTATCGAAATCCAGAGGGGTAGAATCGGAAATTCGGCAGACACGATTTCGAGTGGGTGTGCGTATATAAATGTGCATAACGGGCCCGACGACGAGTATAAATACTATACGAATCCGCTGTCGGAAAATTCTTAAACAATATCGCGGCCGTTTCTTTCCGAAGACACGGATAATATTGTAACCGGAGCGCTGCAGTCAGTATAACTGCTATTATATTATTATTACGGTGACGATTAACGAATCGTATAAACGCTTGTTTGGTCGGTTGTTTTTTTTTTTTTTTTTTTTTTTTTGTTCACGTGTAAACACACCATAATATTATATTATATACAGTGCGCCGCCGCCGTCGAATAACGTGATAATTAAATAAATAACAAATGAAAAAAAAAAAAACCCATAAAAACACACAAACAATAATCTGAACACCAGCCGTCGGACGTAGTGCGAGCGCGCGCGCGCGCGGTCAAGACGGAAATTAATGCGAAGGTGTCGCTCTATACAGCGCGAGACGACACCTTATAATATTCTCTGTAGACGACGATTTGTTCATTGTCCATAATTTCTACTAATGTCTTTGCCTACACTATAATATAATATAACGTCTGTAAACACGTTTCCCTCCCTCCTTCCGCTACCCCCTTACCCTCGCTCGCCTTTATTTCCTTCTAATATTTATCGCGCGTACACACTATTACTTTTTTTTTTTCGTTCCTCTTGCACTCCGGCCCACTGATGTCGTCTTGTTTATTCCTATTTAAGATTTTTTTTTTTTTTTTAATAGTCACGGACGTATGCGAGTATAATATATACCGGAGAGTATAAACATTATAATATATAATATATACGTCGTCGGCACGATAATATTCGAGCGGTTCGGAAACGAGTCCGCGGAGTAAAAAAATAAAAAAAAAAAACCAGGAAAAAAAAAACGTTTTTAAAAACCCGATAATGGGGTGTCGGCGTTCGAATTTCCGTTTCGGGTACATAATGAATTAACGATTAACATTTAAAACCAAAAAAAAAAAAAAAACGTATAATCTATACGCGTGTTGTATATACGCGCAGACGACTGTGAATAATAACTGTTATAATCTCGTACACGACGACGGAAAATAATAGTATAATAACAACAATTATTATCACAAACGAACCGTATTGTATTATTACGACCGGGAGTCGTCATCGGCTGTATATTAACTAACGATTAGAAATGAAAAAAAAAACAAATACGCCGATTTTTTTTCCTCGTCATCAACAAGTTGACAGCAGCCGCGCGCGTATGTGTCGCAATAAGGGACGAGCGCACCGAATCCGCGTATATCCCTCTCGAGAAGCCGTCGATTTTGCCCGTATCTGTTATCTTTGTAGGCGGGCATCCCCGATTCGGGACTGTGGGACTCATATTCTATTAAAACGAACTGATAAACAAAGGGGGAAGAAGAAACCGTTCTCAAATATTTGATTCGACTCGTAATATTATGGTCTTTATGGGCCTCTATTTTTCACGGGCCCCGGGGTCGTGGTTCCCTCCGCTCTCCTACCCTTTGATCCGGGACTGCTGATAGGATACCTGCAAATCGAGGCGCTCGGAAATTCAAGCGAGCCAAAACACAAGTTCAGAGACGAGAATATTGCCGACGGCTAATGCGTGTAGCTTTTGTACGAAAACAAACGTGCGCATAATAAATATTTAGTCACTGCAGTCGTGATGTTAGTTTTCGTTTTTTTTTTTTTTTTTTTTTTTAAATAGCCGTTACTTTTTCGCAATTTTTTCGAGCCGCGCGTGAACCTCGGAAATATTTCCCTCTACAAATTTCGTTCCGAGCATAACGAGTGTAACGATCGCGTTATGTATAGTTATTTACGCCGCCGCGGGATGATATTGCTATTACGATACATAATGATAATATACGACAACAGTGAAGAACGGCATGATCAAGGGACAAACAACTAAAAAAAAAAAAAAACAAAAACAACAACAAAAAAACCTACAACTATCGTAATCATTATTATTAGTAAAAAACCAAAATAATAATGATAATAATAATTCGTGATTATAATATTACAAAATATCCGTCCGCGTTTCGCTGTTGTTTTCCGAAAATATGTAATATCGTATAATGCGGCACAATGCGCGTCATTATATTATCGTCGTCGTACAGGTAGAGAGGACCGTGCGATGTCGGCGCGGCCGATGGGAAAATTCTCATTAAAAAAAAAAAAAAAAAAAAAAACGAGTAGAAAAAAAAAAAACGACTTTTCACCCGTATATGCACCTATACGGCGCAGTAATGGGTATACGAACCGAAAAATTACAAACCGTGCCCGGTATTTCTTTAATTAGACGCGTAACGGGACAGCTGTGCGCCGGTACACATAAAACGGATACGACGTGTCGTCCTGTGTTCGAAAACTATAATAATATAATAGCGGTGTAAACGACCGATCGGCCGGGTGTGATGTCGTTAAAAACGCGTACGCGGGTAAGGGGGGGGGGAGGGAATAAAACGCCCCGGAGTATGAAATCCTAAAACGACCAAAAAAAAAAAAATAAAACAACAAAAAACGATGACGCGTTTTTCGCGCGCTAGGAATCCGCCGAGTCGTGTGATATTATTGTCGTCGGCCCACGGCTCGCAACACGCGTCGCGCGTTATCATCCGTATGCGATGGTGTTTTATTTATTTTTTTTTTTTTTTTTTTTTTTTTTTTTAATAAACTCGAGGAATTGAAAAATAACAATAACGAAAACCGCGCACGCCGTCGGAACGTTATTAAAAAAAAAATTTGAAAAAAAAAAAAAAAACCCCGACGGCGACCGCGGCGCGCGACGCGATAACGGACCGGGCGGAGATTTTCGCGGCATTCGACCTTTACTCGCCTGCGGTTTTGATTTCGGCCGGTTCGTCTCTTTCACCGTCGGCCTTTATCACACGCGCACGCACGAACGTACACACGGGTCCCACCCACGCGTCGCGCGACACAACACTCCGCATGTCCGACCCTCGAGTCGCACGAAAACTTTTTTCTCCGACCCGCTCTACACTCCGCGGACGTCCTTCGCACTCGACGGGCCCCGTATAGTCTTCTTGACTACTACACCTCTACACACACACACGCACAAACGCGCACGCCGCCGCTCCTTCTCCTCTCCCGACACGCCTCGATCTCTCGCGTACATTGTCTCTCGGTTTCCCCGCGGTATACGCGCGGTTCCTTCGTTTCTTGGCGCGTTAACGCGAAAACCGTACGTACATAATTATATCATCGTACCCACCCCGCACAAAAAAAAAAAAAAACAACAAAACAACAAAACACCGAATCCAAAACCGTCTGCCGGGCGCGTGACTCGCACCGGCGCCGCCGTCGGAAACGGCCCGCCGGGCGAGCGACCAGACGAGAGAAGGGAGCAAAAGGGGTCGCCGTCGACAGTTTGACACTTCTGCCGCCACCGCCGCCCTAGACTGTCCCCGCTGCCGTCGCCCGAAACTCCGGCACCGGCACCTCCCGTCCGGAATTCGAGTGTAGTCCCCGGCGGAGAGTGTGTGCGAGCGAGAGGGAGAGCGAGAGTGATAAAGCGCGATAAGGGTGTGGGGGAGAAAAAGACGAGGGCGGGAGGGGGCGCGCGCGAACACGAGGCGCGCTCGCATACAACCGTCCAAGGGTCCCGGGTGCAAGGGCGGGCGGACGGTCGGGTAGGCGCGGGACGCTAGACAACGACGGGGGCAGGGGCGGCGGCGCGTATATTATTTATACGAGTACCGATTTTTACACCCTCCGCCCCGCCGGGAGTGTGCGTGTGTGTGCGTGTGCGTGTGTGCGCGCAGCTAGAGCAGTAGCCCCGCTAGTTAGATTTTTATTTTTTTAGATTTTAATCGTCTCGTTTTCGACGAGTCCGCGGAAAACGAACGGGCCCCGCGCTCCGCCGTCGCCGTCACGGCGCGTCTCGTCGTCGGTTTCGACCGCAGATGTGTAAAACCAACAATGATTTATAGCCGACCGCGCGTTAATGTCTCGTATGAAGACTTATGAAGTGGTTCGATAGCCACGATACGTTTTATGGGCATTACAGATCGTACGAAACCCATTGAACGGAAAACAAAAATTTTGTAAAAGTCGCCTTTGTTTTCGGCGTGGAATCGGAAATTTCGCGGAAAAGCGGATTAATCGATAATTCGCCCTTTTCGCATCATACGTATGTAATAAACGGACTTCGATTCGCATCGGCCATCTAGGTGTAGTTTTTTTTTTTTTTTTTTTTTTTCATTTAACTGCGATGGTTTCGACAAGAGATACGCGGATATTATTACGACGGGCGCACCACGATCGAACGTAAAATACGGAATCGCGTAGTAATTATCGTACACGGTCCCGCGGCGTTTATCGCGTGAAATCCAAGCACGACAAGGCGTGCGATTTGGCCGTTAAAAAAAATAAAAAAAAAATACTCTTAAAGGCCGCGCGCGGTTTTATAACTAGGCGACCGTCATTGTTCTTGTTGTTATTATTGTTATTATTATCACGGGCGCGACGCATAACGCCCGCAGCGCTGCAGTGCAGTAAACGGCCTGTTTACGGCCGATAACACGTCGAATCGATTATGAATATTGCCGTTCGCGTGAAAAGGAACGGGAAACGGCGAGAGAGAATACAAATAAAAAAAAAAAAACGCGCCGTCGAGTCGCGCGCGACAACGCGCGACGCGTATTCGGCGACAACGGCGGGCGACGGGCGCGAAATGAAAATCGATGTTTTCGGACCGTACACGGTGTACGTGGTAACGGCACACGTGCGCGGATACGCGAAAACACGGCGGCGGGGAATTGAAAATAAAAAACTAATAAATAATAAATATAATAACAAAACCAAAACGCGAACAGCGTACGGTGACGGCCGGTAAAACGCGACGGAAACGCGCGGTCGGCGTACGGTTCGGAACCCGGACGTGCGCCCGCCGCCCCGCGCGGCCCGACATTCGCCGGCCGTGTGTGCACGCACGGTGGCGGGCGGCAGCGATAAAAAATTACGACAGTTCCGCGGAAAATTAATTTACCCCGTTGAAAAACGCGCGGGCGCTAGCGTCCAAATTATCAATAATAACTGCACGCCGTCGCCGCGACGGGTACGCGCGGTTTTCCGGGCCGCGATCGTGTTTTTTTTTCTGCTCCCCTCGACGGGTGTACAACGGGACCCGGTGCCCGTGGCGGAGGGCGCGGGACGGCGCTGTGCGACTGACGTGCGTGGGCGCCGTGGAACGTTTTCGAAAGTTCTGGAACCGAGGTGTTTTCACGGTAAACGTACGCGGGCCGGCAGCTTCAATATTTGTTCGGCCCGAACGTTCCGATCGGCCGCGAAACTCGCGGGGCGTCATACGTTGCGCGCGGTTTTTCACGGGACAGTCGGCCACGGGGTTTTCGATCTCGACCGAAGCGAACGAACGGTAAACGGACGTTTCGAAATCGCATTTTCCCGATTGGTACGCGCCTTCAACGGCCGGTATCGCCCGGTTTGTCCGGTGGGCCGGACGGTCCTAATGGCCCCGGGAGTAAACGACCGAAAGACCGCGTTGCGATATTCACGACCCGAGCGCACGCAAAGCCGTAAAAACTACGGCCCGGGCGGCCGTACTCGATCGTGTTTTATACTTTTGTCGTGTACAACAACCGGCAGTTGTACGGCATTTTATGCGACGTCGCGTTATTGTATTTGATGTACGGCATTTTATGCGACGTAGCGTTATTGTACTGATGTACGGATACACAGTCGACAATCGGAGATTATCGTTTTCAATTAGTTATTCAATAGCTATATTATTCAACACGCATAGTCCAATAGTCAATGTTTTGTTGTGTTGCGCGCGTCGGGCTTTCGGATTTCCTATGAAACCCGCGTTATCCGCACCGTCTCTCGTATAATAATATACGCGCCTGCCCGCGTATAAAAGAACGAAGAAGCCTTTAAAAAAAAAAAAATATGAAAAAAAAATGTAAACCGTACAACACAA